TCCGAGAAACCTCCAGATTCCTCGGTGGTGAATATGGTTTTCGATGAATCCTAAGTTCTAACTTCAATTCTGAGTTACGAACAGGAAAAACGGCACTTAGTATTGCGAATCGAAGAAAGACCTTGACAGAAGAAGCAGGGCTTATCTATAAGAAACTATACCGTATGGGATGGGGGCAGTAGCGGCGCCCCCGATATGTATTGGCATTGGTGGTGGTGTTCTAGGCCATGGGGCTACGAACTCTTAGTTAGAATAGAACTATCTACTCCCTCAGACGACACATTATGAGGTGAACAGTGTGGACCCCTGCCTCTTAAAAATCTGCCATAATTCGGTTAAGAAAATGACTAACCCTAATAGTTTATCAATTGATAAGTTTATAACCCTGTGGAAGCCGCTGTTGCGGTTAGCTGCGTCACGAAGAGGACCTCTAAGAAGAACCTGACTGTGGCACAGTGTCCCTCGCACAGAACGTGTAGTCGAACTTCTCTTTCCCCTTCGAATCGAATTAAACCATTTGGTTCTCAAAAAAAGGCCTATCAAAAATTATATTGAATAAGGGCACAACTTCATCCTAATTCTATACACACAATTTGCATAGTTTGTTCACAAAACCAAGCTCACACTAACTGTAAGCCTTTCAGACAATCCTTTCTATGTAGGCATAAGCAGTATATAAAGATAAATAATTCTAAAAAAAAAACGCAGGGAAAAAGTAAACACTATAAAGGTTATTGGAATAGTCACTCGAGGATTATTATCCAAGAAACCCTAGCGAAAGGCCAGGATTTGTGCGTGTCTGTGCACAAATGAAAAATAAGGTTATCCAATTTATTCTCCTTTTCTTCCTAACTGAATCATTGATCGAATTTTCTGATTAAAAAAATTATATATATATAAACTGATAGTAATAGATAAAATTAAACAAGAAAAAAAAGCATCTATGAAGAAACCCTAGGCAACCTTTGGGGGTTGCCATTCGCTTTCTTAAAAATTCCTCACTGAGGTTTAGTGGCGCTCCCCACGTAGCCGCAGAGCAAGCTGCACGTCCTTCGGCTGGATTGTCACGCGCTTGGCGTGAATACACGAAAGGTTCGTGTCAGCCAGCAGCGAGACAATGTAGGCCTCCGTTGCCTCCTGGATCGCGAGGATAGCGCTGCTCTGAAAGCGCATTCCTTCCTTCTGCGTGCTTGACACCTCGCGCACCAGACGCTGGAAAGGGGCACGCTGAATGAGCAGGTCAGTGCTCTTCTGGTAGGACTTAATCTCGCGCAGGGCGACAGTGCCCGGGCGCCAGCGGCGCTGCGCGTGTTTGACTCCCGAGGTCACCTTGGGCGCCTTCTTGCTCTTCTTCGAGGTGATGCTGCGCTTGGCACGGGCGGTCTCTTTGGTGCGGGACATCTTTCCTTGTAAAGGTGGGGTTGAGGGTGTGTTTAGAAAACTTGGTAGTGGAATCGGAAAACGGATAGTGGCGAGCTTCGAAAGAAAAAGAAAAAAAGACAGAGAAATAGAAAGTGAAAAGGGGAGAAGAAAAATTTGAACTAGAAAAAAAAAATGTAGTGCGAAGCATACACTACGAAAACAGTGGAACATGTTTATTGTTACTAAAAATTGCTCAATGAAATGGTTTAATGGGTATAAGGCGATAGAACGACCACCTACACTGCGAAATTGTATGTATATCCAAGTATAAACTAAAGGAATCGTTGGATATCCATGAATAAATGCATAAGTACATACGTCCTCAAAGGTTATACTGCTTATCAATAAAATATATAGTAAAGTCTAAGTTTTTTTTACTGAAGCTCATGATCAACAAGACCCAAAACATAGTCATCCATGATATGCCCCACTTCCTCCACAACCTCAGTGAAGCAGTCCTCTAGTAAAGCGTTAGTTAACCTTTGAGCGAATACGTATTGAGAACTCTGGCTCGTATTATATTGTCTTTCATTATATGCAATGTACTCATGTGCGGTGCGTTGGTGTGCCAGCAAACGCCGTACAACCGTATCTGGCATCATTCCACGTTGTGGTTTCGATTTCAATACGCGACTCTCCCCATGATTCGGGAAGAATTCAAAAGAAGACAACGCGCCCGGCGTCGCCTCTACGCCATTCTGTCCCTTTATCGTAATAGCGTTCGAAAATGGCAAAAAAGAAGAATTAGCCAATCCACTGTTCTTCGATAAAACTTTGGAGTCCTGTGTCTGTATTGGAAGTCCTCTTGAATGATGACCATTCTCTTGTTTGTCATTGAGAACCGACACCTCAACCCTCTCCAACTCACTCTCCATGGATTCGATTCGTTGATGTAGGTCAGCGTAAGCTAGCATTTCATTGTACAAGGAAGCGGATTCCCCTTCGTCCTCTGATTTTGTATCTATTTCTACTGTAGGAATGACCCCGTGTAGTGTGCCTTTGGAAAGAGACTCCCCAGAGGTCCCTTGGGCCTTCGTTTTATGGATTTCTAAGCTTGAGCCCTCCAAGTCGCCGCGTATGACTTCTTGCAGAACCTGCTGATGATCCTGAAGCATCTTATCGACCGTGTGAGAGAGCTGATGCAACGAATGCGTGTTATCAGGGGAGACCTGAATCCCCACCTCGGCGCTGGGACGGACCACCTCATGCCTGGACGGGTGCTCACTTGTCACAGGAAGAAGGGGAGGCTGGGACGGCGTCTCGGGCGGCCCTTGTGGTGTCTGGGGTCCCTGACGAAACGCCATGGGGGGAAGTTGCGCGGACAAGATGAAAGCCGCATGTTGAATCGCCTCCATGGGTAAGTGCCGTCTCCTAGAGGAAGTTGGAGGGCTGTGGGGGGCGTCCTTTGGGGAAAGTGTCAAGACGGGTTTGACCCGCTTTCGGGGATGGGATGGTCCTGGGCTCAAATCCCCCGGGAGAGAAGTTTTCGCATCTGGTGAGGCCGTCAAGGTGGGAGGCGCCGGGCGGGGGATCGTGGAAGAAACCGGGGTCAGGTCCGTTGGCGGTCGAGACGACAAGAAAGGGCTCGGGGCACGGGTTAGGGAGGATGTGGATTGGAGAGGGGGATCATGACCCCGGATTCCAAGCCCTTGAGGACTTCTTAGGTGCCCCTGGGGATCCTCCTTCCCGAATGGGCCACCCACCGTCGGGTTCGCTCTCAGCTTGTCAGTCGGGATGGGGTATGGCGAACACGGGGACGATGACGGACTCGGTGAAACCCGGGTTTCGATTACTTTTCCCCGCCAAATCCGTGCGGACTCTGACATCGGATGAAACCGCGGCAGGACGGGAGGAATAGAACTTGACGCGGCGGTATCTTTTTCCCCCTTTATAAAGACGTCCGATTGATCATAAGATTGGACATCCTCTATAAGTGGTTCGCTATAGTAATATTTGGGAACGGCCATTCGAGCAAAGAAAGCATCTTTTTCGTCACCGGATCGAAAACGGTGAGGACCTCGAGCAGCCATGGCAGACTTGTGGTGCCAATGAAGCATATCCAGTGTGCCCTCTTTTTCTAAGTTACTTCTACCATTTTTATTCGCATCAAATCTAGGGCGGGGTGCACGTGACGGTTGATTATTTAAAGCTGCCGCGATAGCACGCTCGTCGTCTCGAGTTCGACGCGGCACATACGCAGAAAACGAGGGTTCTCCCCTGGGCGTACAAGAAAGAGCTGAACCCTGATTACGACCCCTGACAAGCTTGTTAAAATATCCTTTGGGATCTACTTTGCCGGCATGCACTCTTGGAGATATCGAATGCACCAATGGATCGCGGGTATGCCTCACAGCATTGCTCCTACTCGGCCCAGGTGAGAAGCGTCTTAATACATCTTTGGAGATAAGCGCATCAAGACCTACTGCTTCAATCATATCCATCACATCTACATGTGCAATTCGTTGTACTAACTTTAGAAGTTTGAATCGATTTGCAAGGAGAGCATATTCAGTAGGATTGGAACATGCTCCCGCTATCATTTCAAATGATCCCTCTTGACCACATTCCTCTTCTCTATCACTAAAATCAGCAGTAGACATATCAGCCTTCATCTAATGAAAAGATATATATATATATAAAAAGCAATAAACAAATTTTAATATACTCTCAGAGTATGTAATAGAATGTGAAAAAAAAGATGTATTTAGAATTCTCTGAAAATGGGAAAGAGAGGTATGCAGTTATTAACAAATCTATACAATGAAAATGATGAAAACTAAGCTCTAAACTATTCAGTTTTCTTTTAACTTTTGAAATCTCAAGAGGAAGGAAAAAAGAAGACACAGTATTAAATGATAGTACGATTTGAAAAACATCAACAAATTAAGCATATTAAGAAATACGGAAGTGTATCCTCTAAATATTAGATGACGATTCCACCATTTCTTTAGTTTAGAATTTTAAAAGCTTAAAATGCACCATCTTATTACCAATATTTATTTGTAGCATACAGTGTAAAGCATATATAGGATGTAAAACACCATATTTAACAATCTTTTTACGAGAAGAGATGCTAATGTGGTTATTAATTGTTTATCACTTCTAAAAAGTAGCATGTTGAGTTTATGTGTGAGAAAATATTTGGTACTCTTCCATTTGGACTTAGCGCTGCTTCCATGACAAGACAGTCTCTAAATTGTCTACAGATAAAGTAGTTAAAATCAAAGAATGGTCCAACGCTTTTTCTCCTTGTATTTTCCTTTTTTGTAGTTGTTCTTGAATGGACGACCTTCAAGTCTCAGACTTCATTGAAGACTCAAACGGAATGCATTTAACCGTTTATTCATTAAAAAGACTCATCCTCATTAGTGAAAACGAATGCTAGCTATAGAGGCTACAGGTCTATCAGTCAAAGCATCCACTTCATTTGGTGTCAGAATCTTCACTGTCGCTATCGGTGTACTCATCTTCCATACCCATATCACCATCTCCCTCATCAGCCTCACCAGTATAATGCAAAACAGCACATGGTATGATGTTGTTGTGCAAAATCCGAAGAATATTTATAACCTCCTCCTCCTCATCATCCTCGCTATCATTGTCGTCGTCAGTATCTTTCTTATCTTGAAAAATATTAAAGAAAGAGTTGCACGGTATTTGCTTCAGTTGTACCCGACTATTGCGCTTGGCGGTCTTAACCTTGCCAGGTTCCATCGTTAAATTTTTCCCTTTCTTCCACGTGAGGGGGCCGCGCTTCAGCGTCGATCCTTCCTCGCCCATAACGACCGCGATCGTGAGTTGATCTTCCTGAAAGTAAATGTTTGATGAAAAAGTAAACACCACTTCAAAACTACCATATTCACCGTCTATAGTATGCGATGATACATCAATCAAATGCTTTAGTGCCCCTTCGTCCCGTTCTGTGATCATACTGGCTAGTGTCACGTTATTACTTAACGCTTGAAGCCAAAACTCTGGAATTCCCTTACGTTTAACCTCCTCGACCTCCTCTTTCGTGATATCGACCTTCCCAGTGTGTTCTTCCGGGAAGCCCGCCATCACCTCCGAATCGGTTACCTCTGGGCCTGTCCCGTTGATAATTTCCCTCCGCCTTGCAAAAATAGAGGCATATTTGGCGTCAAATTCTTTCCGAAGCTGCTGCTCCTCCTGTTCAACATTTTCCTGAAGTTTCATGCAATCATCGTGGTATTTAAGTAAGACTTGTACACGATCCTTAATCTTCTCAGGCAAGCTCTTCATAAATGTTTCGGAGTAATGTTGATCAAAATATTTAGCCATATTCGTATTGCTCATCATAGGCTCGATGGGTTCATCGTCTGAATCATGTTGAGCTTTAGGAGGCATGTCGCTTAAATTTTATGTTTTGATATTTGTGGTTTGCTTCACCTCTTTGTGGGGATAGTATCTTATATAAAAAGATACAAAACTATAGGCCCGGCACATCATCCGGCATATGAACCACAAATGTGGTAAAATAGAAATAGAAAAAGGAGATAAACAAAGTGAAAGGTATTTATCATAAAGAAAAATCAACTGCTAGACCAGTATAAAGCTCTATTCCCGAGGCATATATGAACAATAAAGCCGCAATGAGGAATCACCTACAGAAAAAGGCTCATGTTGGGTGTTTGTGAATCTAATTTACTGAACTACTACAGTGCACTGGCAGCTGTACAAACCATCTTTATCTCCAACGCAGCCGCCAGTTCGGACGCCACAATCTCGACATACCCTTCGGCACCGGCCGCCGCGAGGAGATCCAGACAACTCATTCCATAGTGGTTGATAGCGGCGGTTGGGCAGCCCGCCTTCACCAACAGTAATGCTATTGATAACAACAGCTCGAGGAGAACGTCCTTGTCTTCCTTCTGGTCTTGTTCTTTTCCATCCCTCCCATGCGAACTAGCATCCCCAAGTGACAAGGAACTCGATCCCCCGACGTCAGTGTGTGAATGAGAAAGATGAGGATCGGCCATCTGGCCCTTCAGACGTCGCATTATTTGACTAAAGGCAACATGGAGTGCGGTGCAGCCTTCCTCATCCCGGCATAGAACGTGATTGGGTTTCGTAGAAAGGAGTTCCCTGAGTGCGAACCAGTTCATCTTGTCTACCAAGAAAAATATCTCACTTAAAGAATTGGGTGCAATCAACATGTTATTGGCGGCGCGACGCGCATCCACATCGATATTCTCTCGAATATGGCAATTTGCACCAAACGCATCCTTTGAGCGTGTATGAATATTGCACACCAACTCCAGAGGGCCTACCAGTGAAATGACCTCTACTGAAGCCTCTCCCTCGTCGAAAGAAGTCGGTGAACCCCCCCATACCCTACTATCATACCGAATAGATGAAGCTCGCTGGGTCACCTCTTGGATCCCATTGACATAAAATTCGGCCACCTGCCGTGGCCATCCATCGCTAGCATGCGCGGATGGTGTTTTGACGACGTTGGAGTCGGCCTTCGAGCATTTGGTACTTTTAACATCACGGGGAGCAGCTTCGATGCCGACGCCAAGAACGCTGGGAGCGGGCATTCCCTTTTCTATAGAGGGAATTGGAATACCCAGTAAGTGAAACAGAAGCTTCTCACGGCTTGCCCGCGGAAGACACCATACCCCGCAGGCCACAGGGGCCAAAACTGGGATCCAATTCACGCCCTTTTCCCGTTCTTTGTCGACAAGCCCCTGCAGCTTCCCTCTCCCGTCGCTCATTTTAAGCTTATTCGGAGGGTAAATGGTAATACCGTGTCGTTGTTGCCAATATTCTAAAAGGAGATCAATCATAAAATGAAGGCTTTCCTGTTGGCCATCACTCTTACATGCCTTAGTTTGACCATTCAAGAAATGTGTTTGTATCGATAGCAGATTTGGGGAGAAGTAACTCGAAACGTAAACTCGTGAGCGGAGTAAAGCAAATGCATCACGAACAAAGCCGCGACGAAATAACAGGCAACTCAAAATTCTATACTCCCCTAGCCCCAGAAGGAGATCATAACAGTCCGCTACTTGAAGCCCAATGCTCGTGGAAACGACGCGGTAGACGCCCCGGTCGTCTTGCTGCCTCAAAGCCAATACTAAGAGCACGTACTCCATTACTTGTGCCGCTGAAAGTTTCTCCTGAGATATTTCGCTAGATTTATTCAGATTGAAATCATCAACACCGCTTGATACAATGACGGTAGTCACTACTGCCTCTTTCCATAGTTTGGAAAGTCGAAATGAAAAGTACTCCAGGATGGAGTCCTCAAAGTCCTGCCAGCACCGCGCCATGAACTCTTCCGCGGTAACACATCCCATGTTAGGCACCTGACGTATAATGGGATGCAAAGGTCGCGACATCGAGTCCACCTCCCCGGCCGGGGCGGAAGTGTGGTTTGCAGCTCCTTCTTCCTCAATTGTCGGTAAACTTGATCTCAGCGTCGCCCGCCTCGCTTCGAAGCCATCCGAACTACACGGGCTGGCGTGATAAGACGAAATGGACAGGTCGGACGGCATGAGAGGAAAGGTCTCGTAGGTTTCACGCCAAGCCCGCTCAAGACCACCAACCGGCAAGTTCCAGGACGAACCCCGGCACCAGTCCTCACAGTTGGACCTGACGGCCATTCTTGGATAATGCTCACCCCCTCCGTTGGGGGTGTGGCATTTATCTTCACCTTCCCGGTCGTGCGCGTCGGCCTGCAAGGAAGGTAAGGGGGTAGTGCATCCTGCCTGGGGAGGTCCCTCCCCAACATTGTCGGCCTGTGTCTTGGCTATGGGTGGGGCGGTGTGGAACAGGCTCGGTAACATCGCGGAATGCCCTTTGGAGTGCAGACAGGGCAATGGGATGCATTCAGGGAGATGCATCGCCAACTCCCTCGGGTTTATGGTTTCCCCAAAATACCGCATCGCTCGATAGGGTTGGGCACGCTTGAGGCATGCAATTCCCGTCATTTTCCTTAACCCCTGCTCCAGCTCCAGCTGAAGGCTGCCCGTGTCCCTCTTGTAGGCAGCCAGGTGCTCAAAAGCTTCTTCGACCTTAAACCGCTCGATCAGCGCTACGAGCTGATGTTGAATCCCCCGCATCGTCACCATCCATAGCGTGCGTGCTCCTGCCAGAAATACCCGTTTTCCGCGTGTAAACTTAGGAGCAAAATAGACACCTGGCAACTGCAACCTCTCAATCGGCTCCTCCTCAAAAACGAAAAACACATCACAGTCATCCGCGTAGAAAGCGAAAAAAAACGGAAATCGTGAAACCATCGCCCGCACCTCGTCCCGGAGGTGGTAAACTCGACCCTGGAAAGGGGAGTCAACAAACGCGGTTGGGAGCGCAGCGATTGGCGGCAGGGAAGTCAACGCAGAGGCGGTAAACACGGAATAAGGAGTGCTTGTGGTCGGTATATTTGCCATCGAGGTTGTAAAAACACAATGATGAGAACGCATGTAAACATCGCCACCCTCACCAAAGGCTAACAACGGGGAGTGCGAAGCCCCGTGCATATTCGGTATCCCCTTTGTGAAACCCTTGGCCAGGGAGACCACTCCATACGCGTGGCGCATACCCACGCAAACGACCCCATCCTGAGCCACCAGCGTTAGGGCAGGCTCCGGAAGCGGAAACTCCTGTTTGAGCACCGGTCTGATAAGTTGACCCCGGTTCATGTCAACTTCATAAACAAAAAGGCTCTTCTCAGAGTGCGGTGCGGCATAAATGATGTGGGTCGCTGTTTCTTCAGTCAGAAACTCATCCAGAGCTGTTTCGTCTGTGCCGTTAGTGCGAGCCATAGACGGCTGCCCCTCGCAAGTCTCATCAGTGTGGCTGGGTTCAACGAGATAAATAAAAAAGGCACCAATACAACCTGGAACATCGAATAGGTAGGTTAAGTCGAATGCATTGAACGCACAGAGACGTTGATTGCAGAGAACAAAAATAAGAGGGTGGCTTTGACAGTGTTGAATCTGTGTAATGGGTGTTAAAGTTGATTCAGGAAAGCGTGTGAACGCCAAAAAGCTTGTGTAGATTGACTTATGTACCATGTCATTCTCAATGTCCTCCTCCTCCTCGCTGAGCTTGTCATCATATAACTCACTCAATGATGTGCTTGTCGAGGTTGGAGGAGGGTTAACACCATCCTCACTACCAGAACACTCAGCCTCTGCGGAGCGCATATCATATTCCATCAGACCCTCAACTTGAAGGTAGAGCAAGCAACCAGTGTTGGTGCCCACATAGAGGTGATTAGCATAATTTTCAAATGCAGTTATATCTCCATCCACTGGGCGCATATCGGAAAGCTTTGCGAGAGACTTTACTGTTTGCATTTTTGATAAACTTATTTTAACGTTTGCTACTGCTAAACAATATTGGTTAGAATCCCCACCTCTAACCTATGGCGCTGCAAGCCCTCCGAAATGGAATCTACACGAGCGTTTACCAACTAGTGAATAGAAATTGGATAGTGTATGATCAGAAAGAGTCCACGTAGACTCCGTCCGTATAATCATTCTTATCGCGAATTCTTAATAAGCTTCAGTAGAAGCTGCTTTTCTGAATTAAACTTATACGATTTCACATTGTGAGTAAAAGGCAAAGAAAAAAAATGACAAAGAAATAAATCACTGTGGAAGGGCACAAACACGCTAAAAGAACTGGTCTAACCATATACCCTCCTTCTACCAAACATTCGTTCACGGCTAAAACACGAAGCAGGTTTTTTTCTAACCTATTTTCATTGTTATACGCTATTATTATATACCTAAGATCTCACATTAGAAACATAATGTCATGCGACCAGTTAGTCTTGCCGCCACTGATGGCCACACTGCACACACTTAAAGAAGATTGTGGCGGGCTCGTCCGCTGAGCGCATCTGAATTTGAATATAAAATGCCTTTTCGCTGGAACATGGTGGATCTTCATTAGGACAATTAATTGTCATGATCTGCCCCCCTTCTGCACTTCCTATCACACCGTCTGTGTTGGTGTTAGTGGAGACGGGTATCTTTGCATTATCAGTCGAGCCGCCACCCTCATTGCCGGAAACTATCATTGCTTTACTGGGCTCCACATCATCACCACACACTTTTTTAAAGTCATGAAAAGAATGTGTAATGTTGAGAACAGACCTAGGATCGTAAGTGAGGGGAATGAACTGGACGTAGTTGCAAGTGGTGCAGGAAAATTGATTTTGATCGACACATGCTTGAATTAAAAGTAAGGTTCCACAATAAGGACAAAAGAACATGTGTCCACGACTAATGTTTTTTTGATTAAATTGAAAAAAAAAATGCATCCAAAAGAAAGTATACTTGGTAGCTTACTAAGCTAATCTCATGATAGGCAATGATAAATCAAATATTATATAAAGACATCGTTCTCAGGTATATCATTTGTTCGTACTTAAAGTAATAAAAAGGCAACATAATATCAAGGGAAAATACTTCTCATAGAGTGCTCAGGCTTGTTAATTTTTTAAAGCCTTCTAATATAACAACCGAAAAGAATGACTTTCACACTTTAAAGATATAAGGTAAGGTGGAAAAGTTATACCTTTCAAATGCATTTTTCACTTTATTACTTTATATTTATATACACAAATCCTGTATGTAGCATAAGGACTTTGTTCGGCTATCTCTTCCAAATGCAGCGCCCAGAATTAAAAGTCTCTCACTACAGCGAAACACACAAACACCTAATAGTCAAAAGGGAAAATGGAAAAAAAATTAAAGTCCTAAGTTTTTCATAGTTAGTTCATAGCCGTATACTCCCCTTTCTATAATTGCGCGTGAAGAAGGCTGCAGATTGGGATTGTTTTCAGGTAATCCATAGATATCCATCGGAGTTAGCTCCATAAAATTCCCTCGGTAAGCATTGTACAGTGTGTTGCTAGTGGGTAGAGAACCTAAGCGGCGGGAACCGAGAAGGGTTACCTCGGTAAGCCCCACATCTATGGCGGCGCCAAGGCCATGTGTAGTACGAATGTGATTCATACGCATGCATTCTTCCTGCTTGAAAACGCTACGCTGAATATATTCACAGGGATGTATCAGCCTTTCCTGAGCTTGAGGTCCCGCAAGCTTAATATCTGGACTGGACATAGAATTCTCTGCCTTGTGTAAACTGTAATCTAGTGTATAACAAATTTTAAAAAAATGCGTTGATGTATCCTTAATAATTACATAAATTGAGTACAATAACTGACATGATATCGAGAAAAAACATCATTGCATAAATTCAAGACTCGAATGTGGATGGATCTTTTCTATAAAATCTCTAAGTTATTATTTGTAACATGCACAGTTTTCTTTTCGATTGGGGAAAGGGGTACTGAATAGTTGGTGAAAACCACAATAACACATACAATACGTCGATAATCTGCCATAAGCAAGTAAATAAAAACGTATTATGTACGTTTTAATTTTCATAAAACGCAACTATCCCTCACGGTACTTGTAAATAATGAACCCACTACGCAAAAAAGTGCACGTGTATGCATATCCTTCATGGGTGTGATGACATCAGTATGTCCTCCACTCATTACCTCGTCCGAGCACTTACAGCTGTTATAGAAAGCACGTACCATTTAAAAGTTCTGCCTCATTTCAAGCCCTTTTGTTGCTAAAAGAAGTAAATAAATAAAAATAGAATTAAAACAAAAGCCACTATTGCCACTGGGGCGTACATTCTCACCAATCGCATTCGATTCAAATGTACAGTCTTCTGATAATATCGTGAGCTTTGATCCACTAATTGGGCGGAGTAGTTGTTCATCGTTTCAAGCTTCTCACCACGCTTCATGAGATCTTCTAAATTTTTCCGCATCACAAAATGGACGTCAGTGATTTCTTGTCGAAGGGATTCGTAGTTTGGATTCACCTGCCGCCGTCCCGTACCCGAAACCGCACCACTGCCACACCCGAGGGCAAGACCATCGCCCGAAGCACGATCCTGTTGAATAACTCGAGCAATACATTTTCGAAGGACGGTATCAAATTTTATAAAATGAAAGGGTTTCACATGTTTGGATTCAATCTCCTCAATGGTAAATGTTTGCAAAAACTCCGCCATGACCATATCCAAAAGTTTACAGGCTAGTTTATTGGTTCCCAATTCATCGGCGGAGTTCCGCAGTAAGACTTTGTTCAAGGCAGTGATAACGGTGAGGTTCGTTCCAGAGTCCTGGAAAGCAAAGTAAATACAATCTTTGTGATCGAAACTTTGATAATAACTACCTCTGGAAGCGGAGCGATCGGCAGTACTCGCGGGCGTCTCCATGCGCTCAATAATGCGTTTCATCTGTTGGCGAATAAAATTCGAATTGGAGTAATTTTCGTCCGTATAACTACACAATGGTAGTTGATCGTGCATACGAGCTAACATTACGCCAATAAAGCACCCATTTGACGCCATTCTTCTGGAAAGAACAAATTACTCTTCAATTAGCTAAAACAAATAATCCGTTAGCTTTTAGTAAACCTGTCAAAGAGTAAAACACCTTCTTAAAAGGCTATTATTTTATCAATGCCTTGTCAACCTACTAAGTGATTTTTTAAAAGAGTGAAAATAATGAATAAATACGTAAGATCGCAAAGCAGACAAATAGGTATCGAACAAAGCCAAATAGAAGATGTCATTGCTCCTGGAAAAGAAGCAACTTGTATTAATAATAACTTCATTATATTAAAATAAATTCTCAATTTCACACAAAATATAAGGTATCAAAAGTCAAGAAATCATTTTAAGAACACTTGAAAATAATTTTTTGTCTACTCGAGGTTTGTACTACCTTTCCTGACTTACGAAGTCATCGCAGAGGCGGTGCTGGACTCGTACTTCCAGGTCGGGGGAAGCTGCTTGACGCGCTTGTAATAACGAGCCAGGCGGTGAATGCGAGACTCCACCAGGATTAAACGGTACTTGGTATCGCGATCCGTCGTGTTCCGCTCGAGGTGCTTGCGCATCTCCGTCGCGCGCCTCACCAAGCAGTACATATCCTCCGGGATCTCCGGGGCCAGCCCCTTATGCTTCAAAATGCGCAGGATTTTACGCCCGGTCACGCTGCGGACCTGGGCAATACCCATCGAGTCCCGCAGCTCCATCCCGATCCGACTTGGGGGCATTCCTTTCTTGGACAACTTGCAAACCCGCTCCACCACATCGCGGCTGGCGATCTTCAGCCAGGTGGGGGGGGTGCGGCGGTAGGGCAGGGCCGAGCTGGACTTGCCGTGACCGTTGCCGTGCATGCGAACCATTGTGTCTTGAGGGCAAAAATGAACGTGGGGTCGAGTGACTTCAAAATAAATAAAAAGAAAAAAAGGGGAGGGAAAGGGAAAAACATGAGAAAAGAAGTCGAAACCCCACCTGATGGTGGATATGGCTATTCGAATGCATCAAGTTCTCACCGATAGGAGGGAATAGAATATTAATGTTCCTCTATTGCTACCAACCAACCCATTGAAATAACAATCAAGTGAAGGTGTGGTAACATATTATTTCGATCCTCAAGTATTAAACACTCTTAAAAATGGATAATGATGTATGTGTAGCAAGAGGGCCTACTAAAAAGGCCAAAAAAAGGAATAGTAAGGATCTAGTAACGTCTTTACTTCTCAAGAAGTGAGAAAAAGTAGTACACTTATAAAGTAATAGACAAGATCCTGATACAAAAAAAAAAGCAAAATGAACAGGTATTGAAACAATAGTGAATAGGATAAAACCACCCCCCTCAAAAAAAAATTGAGCTGAGGTACCATCTAAAAATCAAAGAGACTGCATAAGAATCTCAAGGTTAACCTGCAAGAACCATAACTACCACACCAAAGCACCCCCCACGGGTGCATCGCTCTCTTTGTCCCATTCCTTTTGTGGTCCTTTAGGATAGATGTAAAAAAAAAGAGGGGAAGGGGTAAAAAAACATGAGGGATGATATGGTAGGATAAAAGAAAATAAAATGATATATTAATAGATTACGATATTAAAAAATTCACCCTATACTCCCATAAAAATAAACAATGCTCACACCCTGATATACTGTAATGTCTATCCTTTAAGTATAATGAATGGGATTTGCTCTTGTCCTCTCGTTGTTTCAAAATTTCACACTGGTTCTCTATTGGTTACGAGCTGAGTCTCGATCCGACCTGAATCTTCAACGAAACCGTCTTTCCATTCCGCACCACTTCCATTCGAAGCTCGACCCCTACCCGCGCGTGGCGCGAGACGATCGCGTTGAAAGCCGCCAGGTCGGTCACTGTGTAGCCAGCAAAGCGCACAATGTGGTCCCCGACCTCCAGGCCTGCTGTCAATGCGGGACCTTTCACCTCCTCACCCTCAGGGGTTTTATAGATTGAAATGATCTCTTTAATAATAATACGCATCGAACTGTTTGCATCACGGTTCACGATGACGGAGAAGCCCAGATAAGGCTTGATGATGCCACATGATGACAGAGATACATTATGCGATGATGCGAAACGGGGTGTCCCACAGCGCGTAGACATATTAAACGTATCGTGGGATCGTCGAGAGGACATCTCCTCGAGATCCAGATCATCCTCCCCGGACAACGCGACGTAAGAAGGGGTTCGGGGTCGGCGTACGGCTACACGTATAGTCCCCGCCTTCGCAGCGACGCGAGTGGCCCCCCTCCCCCCCCCTTGCTCCAGACGCCGAATCAGACGCCCAATGCGCGCGGGTGCCGCCGTTCATCGTGCTCTCCCCCGCGTGCGAACGATCACAAGATGGAGTTTGGCATCCCGAAAGTCGACTGGTGCGGTCCTTGTGGGTGGCGGCGTTGGAAAGATAGAGCTGTGGTTGGGGTAAATGAAAGGGAATGTGTGGTCGTCGCACGGAGGTGCTCGGCACGATGCTACTCTCTAAGGAGGAGATGCAACTGCCGTCAAGAACAGGATTGGTGGTGTTGAGGTAAGCTTCCTGTAAGTCGGATAAACACGACCCACACAGGTGGTCGGAGCCCAAGGCCTCACTCCCCCCCTTGGCATCCTCAGGGGTCATCAAAAGCGGTTTAGGGAAGGCATCCGCCAGAGTTTTTAAGCGCAGTTGTCGCTCCAACAGTTTGGGCTGAAGCAACATCAACAGCGGTGTTGTATGGTGGATTAATAACGCAGCGGTGGGGTCGTCGCACAAAGAACCCGCACTCAGTGGACGCACGGTGCTGGTGCCTCGGATGGAGATACTGCCAGCCCCCTCAATACTCATCTCACTATGTGCGATAAAGCTGTCATACAGGACTATGAGCTTCACGACTAAGTGCAGTATTTGGTGGCGTAATTTGGAAGAAATCAGACGGATCCATCGCAGTGCCTGCGCACACTGCGGTGATATTTGGGGTGAAGCCTGTGTGTCGCACGCGGTTGAGGACGATTGCACTTCTTGTGGTATTTGCTGATGTAAATCTGAAGGATCATAGTCTCTTGCCCTATCACCTGAGAGTGGGGAAGATGAGCGATGCACATGTTGCTTTAAATCGCTAACGTGGAAAGGAGAAGGAATCGGTGGTGTTTGCGAATAGCTGTGTGGTGCAATAGGGTCCATTCTTTCATCGTTACAAAAGGATACGTCACCTCCATCGTAATTAAAAGGACTGCCAGAAGCTAGTATCGGTAAAAAGGCCGCGCAGTTATTAACACCGGCACTTCGAGCGGCATCACTAAGCACCGTGATAAGCTCCAACGTGATAGAGTCGAATGCCTCTGCAAGCGTCTTGTATTCAACCTTCTGTATGTGTGAGTCTGTCTGGGGTCTTGAATGTGTGGTATGATTGCTTGGTTGCACAAATGCCGCGAGGTTGCGACCATCCATGGGCGCCAAGGATTGCCCATGGTGGCTGTTGGTCATCATAACACTCAAAGAGAGTGCGCCGCCGCCGACCCGCTTGCCCTGATGCCGCAAGTCCCCCATTGATAGCGATCGTGAAGGGCGAAGACCCGCACCCCTGCGCCGGTACTCCTTCCCAGAGTTCGCCGCGTTCTTGGAGCCATAGATACCATCCAAGTCCACGATAGCATTTGTAGCGACTCCTGTGACATTGGTGTCAACAATATGAAGTCGCGTGGTAAGGTTGTGTGCGATGATAAGAGCCCGCCCGTCTCGAGAACAGTCAAAAACTTCTCCCTTGAGAGCCAACATAAGAGCCTGTAATAGGCAAAATGAAGAGCTATTTACTCGCCTAGATGGTGAATTAACGGTCACAACTGATGAAGAACGATTCTCATCAGTAGCATTAGATATAAGACTAATATCTGCAATGTTGTCTCCTAAAGACGCTGAATGATGATGATGATGACAGTCTGGAGATGTTCTCAGAAGTGAACTAATACCAAATAAATGGCACACACTAGGGGAAGTGGCTTCAGTAGTCATATCAGGTTGTGAGCTGGCTCTGCCAATGGAACGCTTGCCGCCGCTGCCGTAGCCCTTGATATTCCGTGGTTGTGGTTGATTAGAACTGGTACGACTCATAATTAAATAGTTTAACAACGGTACATTGAGGAAACTACCGAGTAAAATATACCTAGCTTCCGACATCTGCATTGAAGTCTGTTCTTCCCGTGCGGCGCACTCCTCTGCCCTCACAGACTCACGTTCAGCAGTAATCTGTACAATACATTTTTCGAGTTCTAGCTCCTCAGAACGAAGCTGTTCTAGCGAGAATGTATTATCAGTGACACTCTTCAAGCTCATCCATTCACGATGCATAGTATATTTTTCTTCCTTAATACGAACAATTTTTGAAACGTACAGCGCATAACTATGCCATTTCCGAAAGCAGACAATCTGAAGTGCCACACTACGGACCAACAGAAAAGGGTACGGTTCTCCGTGTGCGAGTAGTAAAACCGCATTCGTTTTACGTCCCTCAATCAGTTTCTTCTGATGAATAATTAACATGCGCCACTGATTGTAGTAGTGCCAGAGCAGACGTTGCATCGAAGACTCGCACAAGCAATGAGTTGGCCAAAGCAACTGTGGATGCTGTCCTCTCCATTGAGTCGCCTTCCCTAGACGAATCTGCGACGTGCCATCGGTCCCACTGAAAGGGGCACTAAAAGATAAGAGGAGACGGTTAAAAGTTCCCTCCCGTTGTTTCAGGATGAGCTTAAACCGAGAAGTGGTCGCCCATCGGCAAAATACGTCCCGAAATAATTTTTGTCTACAAACGTGCTCCCGATACGCAACGACGGTAAAACAAATACGTCGATATGTCGTATACCATGTATCCTGACATTTTTGAAAAACGCGATAATCTTTTACGCTTTGGATGTCTCCCCTAGAGTAGTGACAACGACTTTGGAGTAAGGTTACTACATCGGACCACTTTTGATTGGAACGCTTGCGATACCACAGCTTCCATCGCACCCAATAAATGTGCATGAAATGCTCATCCAGCTTAATGCGCATTAACCTTGGTTGTAAGGAGTGCTTGGCCGTGAATCGCTTTCTTGAAACCCACCTCTGTAAAGCGAGGAAGTATCGAAGAAGGACACCGTGAGCGCAAACCCGCTGCATAACCAAGGCGTTCGGTCGCACATATTCCAGCTGCATGTCCTCTAATGTTCCCATGGTGCTGACATTCGAAACAAAAACTTGGTCTCCCTGCACCTTAGCCTGTAAATTGCTTTGTTGAGTAGCGAGATGCAGCTCGAGCAAGGAAGGTTCACCTACACGGTGTGCCATAAGTCCACCTTTAGAGTCTTGGGCCATAATGGTTCGATCCATCTGTGTCACAGCTTTTACACTTACCACTTGTGAAAACGAGTCGCTCGCAGGCTGATCAGACGTTCGTTCGCATGGAAAATGTGTAGCTGAAATTAAAAAAAATCGCTTCATGATAGAAGCACAGAGGGGAACATATACTGCAGAAAAAGAAACAACAGGGAGTTTCACTAGCGAAATCATCGGCATCTCTTCAGAAAGAAAGTTATACACGAGCAGGGTGCCATCTGTCACACCCAATAACAAACGACACTGCTGATGGTCAAAAAACACTGTCGAAAGAGCTGTCTTAGACGGAACTTCCAAAGAACGGATAAATACACCAGAAGGCAGCCCAAACACCTTGGCAGTTCCATCGTGGGATGCCGTAACAAGTAGACGATCGCGCACCACAACTAGGCCAGATATAAGATCCTTATGAGCGTTGTTAATGGGCCAGTTGAAATCACAAGGGTTCAAGAAATCACTATCAGAGAAGTAACAAGGAAAGTAAGAGTTAGAGAAGCTGCCACGAAAATGATGAATTGAAGTCAATGTCCGCAAATGTTCTTCCGAGTGATCCAATGCGATTCTAGTTATTTCCGACACTTTTACAGGATTAGGCTTCTTTGGCTTTACCTTGTTGAAATGAGAACTTTTGGTTGTGGTATTGGCATTGCGTTTCTTGATCTGCCCTACCGAAGCTCGCAAAGGTGTCAGACAAGAACCAGGCCCTACAGAAGACTTAGTTAGATTATGTTTTCCACCACTCCTCGCATCTGGAAGGGATCGTGCAGAGAGCAGATTCCTCCCCAATAATAACTCTTTGGTAACGTAATTCGATGACCTTTCCTTCCTATGTTTACCACGTTTAGTCTTTTTCGGTGTGAGTACTGAATGAAAAGCTGTGTCAGAGTCCGCAGTGGAACAGGAAGAAAAGCTGTATAGCTCATCTTTAGTGTGTTGTTGGGGTGTACCACTAACCTTGTTGAATGATTTTTTCTGACACAATCCACCTTTGGGCGCACTAAGCTTTTGGTGATGAACTAAAGCTCGCCGCTCCTCTTCCTCGAGGTTCACCTGCGTGTTTGTCAGCAAATTCCACAACTGAATGACACCATCTACACTACCGCTGATGGCATAGGAGCCACTCACGCTCGCAGCGAGCGCACTAACACCACTGTTGTTGCCCTCTAAACGAGCAACTAGCGTCAGCATTTGGCTATCCCACACACCTATTGTCCAGTCTAGGGATCCAGTAAGAATAATAATGCCCGATGTCCCACCAGTGATACGCATTGATTCGTTATCGCTACTAGTATTTTTCTCAATGTATTTAGGCGATGCAGAAGAAGTAGGAAAAGCGATTGGTAACGTTGCGACTGTCATGCAAGTAATGGCAGCGGTATGAGCATGCACCATCTGCAGTTCTTTAAGCGTACAGGCATCGAAAATTCGCATCTTGCCATTGCTTTGACCCGCGGCGACCCTGTTTAAGCCGATACACAAAAGCGAAGTCACAAAAGTGGGTGTGGGTTCCTTAGGGATAATAGCCATGATTGTACGAGGGTTTGCCATGGAATGAATCTCAATGCTCCCATCCTGTGCTGAAACCCACAAAGTTGTGTGCAAACCATTTTTAAAAAGCTGTTCCATGTCGAAACTCTGGATGCAGGCTATTGAATTATGTCTGTTTCGGCGATTACGCGGCGCGATATTACTCCCGGTGGTTCGGATGGAAGTAAGCGATGTGCTTCGACGGTAGTGATTGTGAACGCCTGAGGCATCTCGTCCAGTGCCTACCGATGAAAAACGCAGCGGTTGAACACGTAAACGAGGAGTGGAGAGCGCTGGTTGGGTTTGAAATACGCCAGAAATCAACTCAGTGGTCCCTCTGATAGAGTTGACGTCAGAGTGGTCTACAATTATATCGCTACCATTAACACTTTCGGCATAGTCACCATGGTTATGAGGCACTTGGCCTACAGCCCCTCTCTCGATTTGCTCTTCATATATTGTGTTTCTAGGCAAAGCTGAATTAACGTACCCTAAGGCCGAAGCACTGTCCATTGATTTTTTAATGGAAGACTCTAAGACTAAGTGAGTCTGGTCTCGTTGAGGATTGTCGTTGTTGTAGTTTGCTTCAATGTTTTGGGTAGAAATTGATCCCACAATGTTTCCTATAGTGGTTCCAAGAATATCCAAATGAGACGATGGAATGGATACGGATGAATGAAAATCTGTGGATGAGCTAACCTTGACACTGTTGTAGGACATTATCGAAGAATCGGTTTGCACTGTTACTGAAGTGGCAGCCTTGAAAACACCAGAAAAACTGCGTTGAGGTATATTGTTCATGCAATACTGCATAACGGTGGGCTCAGTATAGGTGAAACTAGGTTGAGGGAAAGACAGTGGCGAAGAATGAAATGAACGAGAAGGACATGGGCTACTAAATAAACGATCTGCACTAGGTATATGAGAGTATCTAGAAGCACTTGAACGCATATCGGCTAGGAAAGATTGCCCTATGGTTCTAGAATTATTCTGACTAACTGTGCGCTTCTGCGTAAAAAGACTTCTTGAACACTTTACACCACGCCCATGGGATGCAATAGTGATTTTGTCTATGTCTTTTTTTTTGCACGACACTAATAAAGGGGTTTTCACGACTCTCCGTCTAGTTCCACTTTTTGATCCAGATGCAATTGAAAGTCGTGCTATGGGGTACTCCTTATGCGGTGTTTGCTGCTGCTGAACAGCCAATCGAGACCACGTAAAGCTACTGTTATTAAATTCCATCTTATTTTCGTGTGAAATCGCAGTAGATAATTTCATTGTTTTATTCAATAATATTAATTACAATAACAACAATAATAAAAATTTTACAGTAATATGTATTCTATGCTATAAATACATATACTATCAATTTTTTTTTATCACGCTATGCCTCAATACAAATTTAGAACTATATTACTGTGGTATTTACTTCTATTTTAAGGAAAAAACGCTACTAAAAAGTCTAATAGTCTTCGTTGAATTTTTACAAGATAGTCCTATCTACCTTGGAGCTTCTATGCAATATTACAAACAGATATATATATATATAATATATAATTTGTGTAAAAGT